ATGTTTTGTGTTTTGCTTTTTTGTTTGTTTTTGATTCATTTAAAAAGCTGCTTTTTTTCTAAACATTTTACTGAACAACCTGTGTCCATTTAAAAATGTGCTGAGCAGGTGATAGTATGAAATCTAATGTCAAGACCCTCTGAACAGTCTTTCATGATACACATACTTTCCTTCACATAAAAGAAAACTCAACACAATTATGAGTTTACTCTTAAATGCAATTATTTAAGAGCTATTTCTCTCCACTCCATACCCCTGGCACCTAGCATGCTGCTTGCTCAGGCAGGTGCTCATGCCAGCTATCAATTTCTTGCCTTCCAGCTCCAAACCCGCCCTTCACTGCCACCTGGCAGGATGCTAAGGGTTGTCAGTAGAAGGTGCTGGAGAGACAGTGGAGGAGGAAGTTTCTCCTCCTGGATGGTGTTGCTCTCTCAAATGGATGCTGCAGCTCTTGGTTTCTCCATTGTCCAACCCCAGCAGCACACACGGCTTCTCCAGCATCCAGAAACTGCTGCCCAATAGGCCGCTCCAGGTCCTGGCACCTGCTGTGCCTGGTGACCAACGGGCCCCAGGGGCGGCAGCTCCCCCCAGCACTCCCTGGGATGGCTCTGCAGTGAGCATCTCCAAGAGACACCTCCCCGTGAGCAGCTTCCCTGGAATCATTCCAGGAGGCTTTGTGGCAACTACTGAAATGTGGCTCCCCTAGGAGTCAGCTTTCTCTGGCACCTCAGAGGCAGACTTCCCGCAGTTCTGCTGGCCCAGCACCACGTGACTTCTCTGCGACCCAGCAAGCCCAGCTGTTGTGCGCCTCCCCACAGGTCTGGATCTTGGTCCTGGAGGCGTCTTCCTTGGATGCTCTTTGTCAACACTACGGGTGTGGCTGGTCCTTACACCCACTATTCATGTTATTTCAACTTCACTTGCTTTCTGACTTTCCAATTCCTCATCACTCCAATCCCATTATAATTAATATTTCTTTTTAAAAAAATATTATTTACCAATTTGAGAGGGGGTGGAGGGAGAACCTAAATGGTTACTGGCATATCACCAAACCAATTTTGTGTTTATTTGCTGTTATTATTTAGAGTTACATATTAAAAAGGAAAAACTGAATTGTGTATGACTATGATCCCATGCCACTGAATTAATTTATCTGCTCTTTAATTTATTCACTCCTTTACTAATTTTTTTTTTTTATTATTATTATGTATGAGACCAAGCGTCCCTGGCTGCTACAGGAGTCTAGCAGACAGGTATAGTTAAGAAACAACTTTATTTTGAGCAGGGGGAACGACAACACAGCACTTAACAGCTATATTGTAGTCTGAATCCTGCTTTTAAAAATTTATTGAACAACTAGTTTGCCAAGCACACACAAATAGATTTCTTGGGATAATGAGAGTTGATAAATATGCAAAGAGAATCCAGATGGCCAAGCCAATAGCAATTTCCTTGAATATCTTATTTCAGAAATACTAGAGTTCAAGACTGCCTTTAAAAGGACAAGAAAAACTGACATTCTGGCCCAAGGTAATATTCTGGTACAGCATTTTATTTTATTTTTTTTTAATTAAATCTTTATTGTTCAGATTATTACATTTGTTCCTCTTTTTTCCCCCCCATAACTCCCCTCCTCCCAGTTCCCACCCCACCCTCCGCCCTCACTCCCCACCCACTGTCCTCATGCATAGGTGCACGATTTTTGTCCAGTCTCTTCCCGCATCTCCCACACCCCTTTCCCCCCCAAGAATAGTCAGTCCATTCCCTTTCTATGTCCCTGATTCTATTATAATCACCAGTTCATTCTGTTCATCAGATTATTTATTCACTTGATTCTTTTTTTTTTTAATTTATTTTTTTTAATTAAATCTTTATTGTTCAGATTATTACATTTGTTCCTCTTTTTTTCTCCCCCCATAACTCCCCTCCTCCCAGCTCCCGCCCCACCCTCCGCCCTCACTCCCCACCCACTGTCCTCTTCCATAGGTGCACGATTTTTGTCCAGTCTCTTCCCGCATCTCCCACACCCCTTTCCCTCCCAAGAATAGTCAGTCCATTCCCTTTCTATGTCCCTGATTCTATTATGATCACCAGATTATTTATTCACTTGATTCTTAGATTCACTTGTTGATAGATGCATATTTGTTGTTCATAATTTGTATCTTTACCTTTTTTTTTCTTCTTCCTCTTCTTAAAGGATACCTTTCAGCATTTCATATAATACTGGTTTGGTGGTGATGAACTCCTTTAGCTTTTCCTTATCTGTGAAGCTCTTTATCTGACCTTCCATTCTGAATGATAGCTTTGCTGGATAAAGTAATCTTGGTTGTAGGTTCTTGGTATTCATCACTTTGAATATTTCTTGCCACTCTCTTCTGGCCTGCAAAGTTTCTGTTGAGAAATCATCTGACAGTCGTATGGGTATTCCCTTGTAGGTAACTGAGTTTCTTTCTCTTGCTGTTTTTAAGATTCTCTCTTTATCTTTTGCTCTTGGCATTTTAATTATGATGTGTCTTGGTGTGGTCCTCTTTGGATTCCTTTTGTTTGGGGTTCTCCACGCTTCTTGGACCTGTAAGTCCATTTCTTTCACCAGGTGGGGGAAGTTTTCTGTCATTATTTCTTCAAATAGGTTTTCAATATCTTGCTCTCTCTCATCTTCTGGCACCCCTATAATTCTGATGTTGGTACGCTTGAAGCTGTCCCAGAGGCTCCTTACACTATCCTCGCATTTTTGGATTCTTTTTTCATTTTGCTTTTCCGGTTGTGTGTTTTTTGCTTCCTCGCATTTCAAATCATTGACTTGATTCTTGCGCTCCTCTGGTCTGCTGTCGGGAGTCTGTATAATATTCGTTACTTCAGTCCGTGTATGCTTAATTTCTAGTTGGTTCCCCAATATAACATCGAGGGTCTCATTAGTTTTCTTGTAGATCTCATTAAGTTTATCGGCGGCTTCTAAACAGTTCTTGAGAGACCTTAAAAGTGTGGTTCTGAACTCTATATCTTCCATTGACAATTTTGTCCTGTTTCTTTGTCTCCGCATTTTGTTATGCTTCCTTGGTGCACCCCCTAGTGGTCTTTGTTCGCAGTCTTATAGTTAAACCTTGATTGTTGTAGCTAATACCAGGGAGGGTTTGACCTCCAGGCCAAGTGGCTATGAGAATCAGCTGTGTCAGCAGTGAGAGAACTTCTGTCCTCTAGGGAGGTGCTAATCTGGCGTTTGCCTGAGGCTATCCGGCAAATGCCTGTGTGCAGGGCTTGGGCGGGGCGGGTCGCACAGGATCAACAGGGTGGGCCGGAGAGAGCAGTTATGGCAGCTCTCAGTCCTGTCCTCAGGGGCTCTGCCTCTCAGTCCCAGCACCCGCTGCAAAGCTCGGAGAGAAAGCTGCACTCGCTCTGACCGAAGCCAGACAGTCCCGCTTCTCCCGTTTGAGTCTGGGTCCCTAAAGACTCGCCCGTATCTGGAGCTCAGAGTCTGCGACTCCCTCCCGATTGAAAATGCCAACTGCACCCTCCGCCGCCAGCCCGCTCCGCGCACTCCGCACCTCAGAATTTGACTTCAGCACTGCGCCTCCTCTGAGTGTCCGTATGCGTTTCTCTTTCCTCCTAGTTGTAGGACTTCCACTCAGCCAGCGTTCCTGTGGTTCTGGGTGATGTCTGTTCTGTTTTTTAGTTTCACTTTTGAAGTAGTTGTTCAAGGCAGCAAACTCCAGCGTTAACCTATGCCGCCATCTTGGTTCTCCGATCCTTTTCTTCAACATTTTAAAGACCTATCAGTATTTTACAACCAGATATATTAATCACATCTTAGAGAATCATGATGGAAAATAGTATACTCTCTCCATTTTAAAGATGGAGAATCTGAAAATAAGCTTAAGAAACTCAAGACCACAGCCCGTGAGGAAAGGGAGAAGGTTAGTGCAAACAAACCTATCCATTGGAAAAATCTCTCTTTTATTTCCATTGGAATAATTTTCAAAGCTGTGCTTACAATGCCGAAATTTCAAGAGAAAGAAAACCTCTATCCACCTTACTATCCACCTAGAAATGGTCTTAACACATCATCTCTGGGCCCAGGTATAAGCAGTTTTGCTCACATTCTGCCTAACTCCTACAGGAGACCACATTCTCCTAGGACTCGGGAATTAGAAAAGTTGTTTGAGTTCACACTCTGGTTTTAAGGGACAAACACCCAGCTCAGGGAAATGGGCTCACATACAAAGGGAAGCTGGTCTTAGGCACATCCAGAGCCAGGAACCCAAACACTATCAGGAAACTCCCTCCCTACTGCTCCAAATACATTGCTCTTTGTACTCAGCTTCCTTCTCTCCAGCTGGAGCTCAGCTGGTGGGGTGTGTGTTGGGATTGGGAGTGCAGAAGGGAGAAGGGTGTTGGCATCAGACTCACATTCTCATGGCTTAGTGACTAGAAAGGAATAAGAAAATTGGCTTCTCTTTCATTTTGTTTTTAAACATGGGAGAAACAACCTGACTGGTACATCCTGGGTCATATACCCCTGGGTATAACCACTGTGTACAGAAGACAGGTACCCAAAATGACATGTCCCGGGCAAACACCCAGTTCTTGGCTAGGGGAGAGCCTCTTATCAGAGGAGAACACAGATGCTCGGCAGACTAGCACTGAAGCCAGTGCAAAATGCAAGCAAATTCAACACACCACTAGAAAACTAACCAATGTATGTGTATCCTAATGAAATGTCAAATAAAAGCAAATATATATATATTAACATATGAAGCTGGGGATAGCCAATTTTTATAGACAAATGATTGGCTCTGATAAGGAACAAAGTGCAAAATTCATTTAGGTAAACATTTCATTGTTCTTTCATAAGAGACAATATATTTTTTTTTAAAGAAAAGCAACAACTTGATTAGAAAAGTGTGCTGACTTTTGTTGGTGATTCTACCAATTCTGTTGTATAGTTCCCATGTGTAATCACACCATTCCCAAATGAGAAAAAAGGACAATCACACCAATATATATAAATTTGAAATATTTATTGTATTTCTTATTGCATTTCTTAATATCCATAGCACTCTTTAATCAAGAATATAAAGTCATCTGCTTAGGTTTCGCCATTTAAAGTTGAGAACATTCTTAGAAACACATTGTCTTAAAGTAACAGACTGGAATGATAAGCAAATAAGCTTGCAAATAAAGCAATCATCAATACCACGCATTTTTCCTAATCATAACTCTAACGTAGATATATATTATTCTCTAGGCCTCACAAATTCTAAAGAATCCATTTTACCAGTATTGGGAGAGTATGCTTTCAACCATGAAGCTGGTAGAAAAGACTATTTTATATATGGAGTGTGCTTCTTAAAAAAAAGCCTTTCTCCTCCCTCTAATACCATGCATGACACACAATAGCTGTATATGAAGAGAAAGTGACTTTCAATGACAACCATCACCCAAAAAACATGAATAAATCCCTATGTCTGGAGCCAGAGGAATAACACAGCATCCTCTGCTATGCCTGCCTCTGTCTGGCGAACAGCAGTCTGGCCTGTCGTTAGGGTGCCCAGACTTCTCACCCCATATATTGCTGGGTTACCCCTGCAGCAACTGTTTGGTACTGAGGATACCTCTAAGAAGTTATTCCTTACAAAACCTAATCCACTATGTTTATTTTTTAACAATAGAAATTCAATCACCACTCTTCAAATCCTAGATTTGCTCATCCTTACTTCCCCTACTTGCATAGAGTTGAATTAAAAGTACTTTGTTCAAGGAAGTAGTCTGGTCAGAAGAAAACATTCTTCTGTAGGAAAAGGCACTCAAATTTAGAAACTTTTCTGACCAGAAATAAGAGAGCCTGAAAAAAATTAAAAACAAACAAAAAACAAAAAACACACCTGTGTGTTCACTGTGACAATGGATTCATGATAAATTATCCCACAGCCCTTCTTGGCTGAAGAGCAGGTATTGTTCAAGTTGCCCACTGGTCCTCAATAACATAGAGAAAGACTCTTAAGGACCTTCTGGATACATACGAATACTGCACTGCTTCACAATGAGGAAACTGACTAGATGACTAAGGCACTGGCAAAGCACAGATGGTTCGTTGGTTGGTTGGTTGGTTGGTTGGTTGATTGGTTGGTTGGTTGGTTGGTTGGTCAAGGCAACTTAGGTAGGATGTCAGCACCAACAGGCCCTGCACCGAGTCTCCCTCCTGCACAGTTACTCCTCCCACACAGACATGCCCCTGCCTCCCTTCTTAGGCATCTATTTGGTTACAGAAAGTGTGGGAGGAAGAGAGGTGCTCTAGGAAAACAAGATGGAATCACACAATCAGAGGCTCCCCGCAAAAAGTCAGAGAATGCTGAAGGAAAATCAATCGTTAAGACAGCATTCCTCCCAATCAAAATTCACTTGCGTGTTCTCGTCAGGACCCAGTGCAATGCTGCCTTGGTTACCCTGGGGGAGGGGTCACTTTCCTCCCTCACTCTTTTTCTTCACAATTTCTTTAGGAGGGAGAGTACATCAATGAAACTCTCCCTACAGGCCCATCTTGATGCAAACTGCATGCGATTCAGTGTACGTACCACAGAAGATGGAGAAAAATTCAATGAGAGCACCAGTTGTAAAGACATCCTTCTAAGCACTTATAAAACAAAAACTATAATCATATATGTATTTTTTCTTTTTGTTCATCAAAATGTCATAGCACGCTTGAGAACAGGCTGTATAAAGCATAAAATGCTAGAAAGACCTAGTCAAAAGCTGCTTGTTCAGTATACAGTTATGATTACTGAAACTCTACGTGGTTAAAACGAAAAACACACAGCCTGTGATAAATGTTTATTCCACGTTTCAAATTGTGATCTGCTGCATTGGCATGAGTTTTGGTGAAACCTGGTAAAAGAAAGAGAGAAAAAAATAACCAAATTATGAAAAGCCTCACAGTATACACATCTTTCCTTTCAGTTTCCAAACGTGAAGGATATCAACACAGAACATCGCCTCTCCAGGAACAGCACCTGGAATTTCCTCATTTTTCCACCCTGAGCCGAGACAGAGAACTCCTTTTCTGCTCCCATGTTGTGTATAGTGGTTCTTAACGTTCTTCCACAATAGCTCCTAAATTAAGGACCATTAAGATCAAAACAAGGGGATGGAGGAGCAGAGGGAGACAATTAAAGGGTCCAGATAACCAAGCTCTGTATGGAATGAATCACTGAGCTCTGAGCTTACTGTCTCTGAGACCTCACTCAAAACTGACATTGAGGCACACGTCTCAAAATCCTCAGAACAGGTCCCGTCAATCCACAGATTTGTTCAGAGATACTTAATGTAGTCTTTGATTAACTGGATACACGCAGGGTTGGGGCAAAAGTAGGCTTACAATCGTTCGTATGGAAAATACTACAATTAATAAATAATAATGTAAGAATAAACTGTGTTTTGTGTACTCACAACTGTAAATCCACTTTGGCCCCACCTTGTATTAATGAAGAGATGTATAGTCAATGAAAAAGTTTTATCAGAATGTTCATAATCAGAATGGAAATGACATAAAAGCAGTAAAAAGATTCCAAGTTATTACAAAAAAAAAAGGTAATAGCATTAAAAATATCAAATGTTGACTGTATTTATGTTCGACGTATGGAACAGCAAATGCATTCCTAGGAGTCTTGAAGCAGAGAAACATAAGCACAGGTCTACATTTAATGATGGAAGAAGAAACCTCAATGTCTGTGGTCTGGCTTCATTTTCACAGATCTTTCCAGAAGCAATGCCAGGTACAGATTTCTTCATTCAATCTGGCAAATACCCACCAAGTCCTAGTAAACAACAGTCCTCATGGACTACACAGTAGAAAATATTAAAATGTAGGTGATTTTTTTGAGCCCCTCAAGGATGTGGAGATCGAAGTGGGCCTACCTAGTGTGGACCTTGAGAAAAAAGATGCCTCCTAAGAAGGGCTCCTGTTGGCTAACTGGGCTCAAAGACAAAAACAAAAAAACCAGAGCCTAGCAGCCATTTCTACACAGGGGACTATTAGAGAGAAACCCGCACGAAACTGCCACCTCTGCACTGAATTGTCTGCCCGCACAGTGCTTCTGCCATCTGAGCCAGCTCTTGTAAAGAAAGGAGTTCATGAACTCCCATTGTTTTTTACTCAAGAAAAAACGATCTTAAATATAATAATTTTTTTTAATATACTTTTATTGATTTCAGAGAGGACGGGAGAAGGGAGAGAGATAGAAATATCAATGATGCGAGGGAATCATTGATCGGCTGCCTCCTGCACGCGGGCCCCCACTGGGGATCGAGCCCACAACCTGGGCATGTGCCCTTGACTGAAACTGAACCTGGGACCCTTCAGTCCACAGGCCGATGCTCTATCCACTGAGCAAAACCAGCTAGGGTTTAAATATAATAATATTACATGCAATAAACATTAATATTTCAAGAAAAAAAGGATTTTAAATATAAAAATATCAAAACTATACTAACATACTATGATATCACAAAAGTTGTAAAAACTATTAAAAATCTGCAAATAACAGGATTACTTCTATTATATTCTAAAATGTTTTTCCACCCTCTGGCTCTATTTTTGTTCATCAGTTTATGTTGTTCATTATATTCCAAAAAATGAGTGAGATCATGTGATATTTTTCTTTCTCTGACTGGCTTATTTCACTTAGCATGATGCTCTCCAGGTCCATCTATGTTGTTGCAAATGGTAAGAGTTCCTTCCTTTTTACAGCAGCATAGTATTCCATTGTGTAAATGTACCACACTTTTCTAATCCACTCATCTGCTGGTGGGCACTTAGGCTGTTTCCAAACCTTACCTATTGTACCAGTGCTGCTATGAACATAGGGGTGCATATATCCTTTCTGATTGGTGTTTCTGATTTCTTGGGATATATTCCTAGAAGTGGAATTACTGGGTCAAATGGGAGTTCCATTTTTAATTTTTTGAAGAAACTCCATACTATTATCCACAGTGGTTGCACCAGTCTGCATTCCTACCAGCAATGCAAGAGGGTTCCTTTTTCTCTGCAGCCTTGCCAGCACTTGTAGTTTGTTAATTTGTTGATGATAGCCATTGTGACAGGTGTGAGATGGTACCGCATTGTCGTTTTGATTTGCATCTCTCGGATGCTTAGTGACTTTGAGCATGTTTTCATATGTCTCTTGGCCTTCTTTATGTCCTCTTTCAAAGACTCCTATTTTAACCAACAGGACTGAGGCTTTCCCCATCCAATCAGAGCTGCACAGCTCTGACCAACCAGAGTGGCTCTATTCTGACTAATCAGGACAGTGCCTTTTGGACCAATCAAACTGCAAGGATTTGGAGTCCTCATTTGCTTGAGGACTGCTCCATTCTGGCTCTGGGAGTACATTTTCCCTTTCTTAAGGCTGTGTATCCCTTAGCTGAGCTGAAACACGAAAGATGTTTCAGCAGAGCAGAGTAGAACAGACCAGTGCTGGCCAGAGCAGATTAGCACAGACTGGAGCAGACCAAAGAACAGCAGAGCAGCACAGCACAAAGCAGACCATAAAGCAGTAGAGCAAGATTGTCTAGCTGGAGAGAGGCCTGGCCCCAGGGCCACCTGGCTTTAGGGCTGCCTCAGGTCCTGCTGTTTCACAATTGAGCTATTTTGCACTGAATAAAGTTTCCTTCTTCACAGCACTCCAAATTAGGGATTCCTGCTGGCCTTGAATTGGGGCCAATGAAAGCATTTTGCCTTCCAGAATAAATAGTTAGTTTTTTTGTTAAATTTAGGAAAGAAGAAGTGAAGGAATGAGTGAATGGACTAGGTAAGCTTTAAAGAACTGGAAGAAAGGTTTCTAACAGAGGTTAAGTCAGTATTAAAAATAGGAGTAGACAATTATTTGGATTTGATGAGGTTAAATATTTTTAGTTCATTTATACATTATTTCTGTATTAGCGTGCCACAATGTCAAGAGTTAATATCCCTTTTCTATTTTTCTACTAAAAGAATGACATGGCCAGAATAAAAAGGATCAGTGTGTCTTGGTATAGAGAGCTTAGAATAAAGGAGAGCTCATTCAGACTTGCCAGTTCTAAGAACAGATGTATAATAATAGACAAAATAGGAGACATCTAACAAGTAGATACAAGTCACAGCTCATATTTGCACGGAACTTCGACTCTCCAGAAAAGAATAAAAGACATAAGGACTCTGAGTATTTAGAAAGTGTCTCTCACAAACAATCCTTTAAAACAATAGCAACAAAGCATTTGTGGAAATAATTTAATGAAATAAAAATTTTGCCTTTTTTTGAAAGAGAGTCTTTATAGAAGTTCCTCTAAAAGCACACAACGCCTTAATTTCTTAAACATCTCATCCTTTTTCTTGTCATGTTGGCCCTATTTTGAGCTCTTAATTTCATTTATATGCTCAATGTGGAAACTGACTTTTATCAGAAGATGAAGCTTTATACACACTGACGTAGCCTCTGTGGGGTGTTCTTTTTTTTTAATGAAAACATCTACTAAACAACCATTTTTTATTCTGTTCTCTCACAGTCTCATCAGCATTGAAAGCCCATGCAAGCTGAAGCAGATTGTCCTGCCACGGTGATCTACGGACTAAGCATAAGACTACATGATTTCAGTGCAGAAGATAAGCCAATGATTTGTCTTCCCAGTCCACTGAAATCCCAAGAGCATACTGTTTAATGCTGGTATAAGGCCAGTTCATAATAGATATTAAGAGCATAAATTTATTCAACGGGGCAAAGATTGTCTGCAGCTGGCTTCTTTCAGATCCCACTGCAAACATATAAATAAGTAGGATCCTCATGTAATGTTATGTCACGGGTGGTTTCGGTGTATTTCTGCCTGGAGAATAAAACCAAGACCCTTGGCAGTCGGAACTGCGCCGATTTGTTCTGTCTCATTCACATGCCATGGCCTTCTGCAGGGACTATGTACTGCTTTGCTCTCGGCCACGTGGAACGCAGCTCAGAAGTAAAGGCTCGCCTCTGTGAAGACAGCCTGCGGTTTTCCAAGGCTGCCTGTAGCTGGGCGCTGACATCTCCCCCACCTCTAGAGTTCCTATCTGAAAAGCCTGCTGTGGCCCGGGAGGTGTGGCTCAGTGGTTGAGCATCGACCTAAGAACCAGGAGATCACAGTTCCCTTCTGGTCAGGGCACATGCCCAGGTTTCGGGCTCTATCCCCAGTGTGGGACAGGCAGGAGGCAGTCGATCAATGATTCATTGATGTTTCCATCTCTCTCCCACTTCCTCTCCCTCTCCCTTCCTTTCTGAAATCATAATATATCTAAAATGCCTGTGTGGCTGTCCACCTCAGCCACACCCTCCATCCCAGCCTTTATCATAACAGTGGCCTTTTCACCTCTCCCTGCCCGGCTCCTTTATCTCTCTCTCTCTCAAAAGATTCAGAGCTCAATCCCCAAGAAACACAGAGGGAAGTCCCTTTCTTTATAACAACTGCATTTTGAAGGAGAGGGATCATATGGAACAAGGTCTCTGTCCATTATAAATTGGCTTCTCTTGCTGTGAACACTCCTGACCAGAATTCTGTTTGGAGTGTGATGAAAGTTCCAGAAATAGAGCCAATTATTTGCATTTCTATGACAAACTTTCCACAGCCTCCTTTAGAGTTCCAGACATATATGACCCTTAAGAAGCTTTCCTATCAATTGAAAAGCAAATTCCTCCTTTCAGCTGACAATATCATGAATATAACTCATCATACATTTTTTTGGTCTTTAACAAATTTTTTATGAAAGCTGTTTCAGGTAACACAGATAGGATGCGATTTTCTTCCACAGTTTCTGTGCTGCTAACTGTACTGTGGTATACAGCAAAGCCTTAGTAATACTTTTTTTAAAATTGGTAAATGTTTCATTATAATGATTATTTTTTAATACCTGGAAACTACAATTTTGTCATGTCCTGTTATCTGATGCTGTCATACACTATCTTTTTCTTTGAAATTCTCAGTATTTTCTCAATCAGCCTATATCCACATTCTGTATATTTGGCCATTCACTTGCCCATATTCTTAGATATAAGGGACATTTTAGCAACACATCCTCATAATTACTTTGACCTTGGTTTTTCCTTTTTTTCCTTTATTATGCAGCAACTTGGCTATTCTCTTCTAGAATATTCACTTTCAGTTATACAGTGAAGGCTGAGTGGGCTTTTTCTCAAGCAGAAACCTTGATTAACATGCATAGTCCCGTGTGGACCAAAATGCTACCTATACCATCATAATCACATGGATAGCTTGTGAATTATAACACAGAATTATCAAATAAAGTAATACTATGCTCAGAGTCCTTTTATTATTAAAAGCATCTCACTGATAACCCAGCTACTGAGCAGAATGTTTTATCAATCAGAGCGTTCCGGTCCCTAGACAAACAATCCACTACCTGTGATTTCATCTGCCAGTGTCTAAAGCCATGCCATTGACCATCAGATCCTCAAAAGCTAGTTCTTTTGTCAGGTGGTTCAGCTATGCTACACCTTTTCATTTTCAGGACAAAACTGACACACAAATTAACATTTCATCTCAATGGCCTAATTTGGAGGACACAAGATGACATGCCAATGTCAAAAGAGAAGGAGGGGTGATGCTGTAATAAAAGAGGAACCCCTGATATATTTTTCAATGTATAAAGACATGGAAACTGGCACTTAAAAAAAAAACAACAACAACAGTAAAAATCCATCTTTTTTCATTCCTGATTTATGGACAGGACTTAAAAATAGGCTCTTCCAATGAGGCTCTTCCCTCGTATACTCTCTTTGGCAGCAGAGAACTGAACACTGTATGTATCTCAAATATGCTACCTACTGAACAGGGGCTGACTCATCCACACAGTGGGAAAAAATGAAGAAAAGTTCATTAAGTAAGAATGGTTTGCTTTTATCACTAGATTAAGGCATTCTAAATAGTTAAAGTATAGGCAAATCCCATTTTTACCCCCTGAGGTTATTGAAAAGGTAATTAAACATGTGCCTTTTGTGTAAGGCATTGCTGGCAGACTTCTTTTCTCCCAAGAGAAATTTGGAAAAGGTTAATAGACAAAGACCTTCATACAGTAGCAGAAGCAGGTAAATGTGGATAATTAACTATGCAGCAAAATTGCTTTTATGGAAATCAGTTATGCATGGATAGGTACCGGCCAGGCATGTAGCACCCAGGGAAGAAATGTATGAGCTCTCTGCATGACTTATCAAATATGTTTTGTTAAACTACTTTCTCCAGGATCTGTAGCTGTGACGTTTCCCCTCATTATAAATATATTTCATTTTAAATAGTAGATCTGTTCTTAAAAAGGTATGTAAGCAGCAAATTTGTTTCCTTCATTTTCTTCAGAGCCATCCATCCCCTCAACTCCCATTAGGTAGGTGATTGATAAATAAGCACTTATACTAAAGGGCAATTATTTACATTGCAGTGTTATTCTCTTTGTTTCAAAAAGGGATTTGGAGATTTCTTAAATGGATACTCCCCGAAGAACTTATCTACTTTGTAGGTCAGAATTTTAGGTACTAAACTTGTCTTCAGATATAGGATCTGCCTATTTTGTGACTATAATCTGGCAGTGTCAGAAGCCCAACATTCTAATAACTTCAACAGATGGAATAATCAGGCATAGAAGCTACTCAAAGAGAAATTCATAAGCCACGGATGGGCTTAAAAATAAGGAAGTACCAATTCTCTGTGTGCAGCTCACATTTTTCAGTCAATCAAGTTCAGCCACGGCTGATGTGTAACCCAAGAAGGGAGAATTGCAGGGGACTTTACAGAGTGTAGCTTAGAGTTCAAGCTTGCTAGACCTTCTTTTTCCAGCAGCTCCATGTGGTCCTTCCCCTTCCTGCTTCAGACTCCAAACTCTGGCAGATGAGTCACAGCCTATTCCTGCTCCAACCTGCTCTCATCTGGAGGCCCCCTTCCCTCCACTCCTGTTCTCTGCAAAGGTCAACTCCAAAAATGATCACAAATGAATGGTTCATGTCCTGTAAACACCCATTCATCAAGCTGGTGACATGGGGTAAGTGGCTGGATTGTTCACAGAAACACTTACTGCGAAGTCACACCCGGTGCTCTTTTTGATGTCGTCCACTGTCAGGCCTTCCCAGAGTTCAATCAGAGTCAGCCCCTTCTTGCTGTCCACATCAAACACAGCCTGTTGGGGCCAAGAACATGACAATGACGATGGCTATTACAGTGATTATTTTATAGCACAAAACAGAAACAAGCTCTCAAGTTCTTAAAGGAGAGACAAGACCCAGGACAAAGATTCTGAAAATCAGCCATGAAAAAATGTCAAACGAATTCTTACATCTTGGGGAGAATAAATGCCAGCTCCCTAATTGGCAATTAGCTGTGGAGCACCATTGATGCCAGGAGCCAAAGGAGTGTTGACTATTGATGCCATTTGCTACTATTATAACCAGTTTTTTGTTTGGTTTGGTTTTGCTTTAAATATATTTTATTGATCAAAGAGGAAGGGAGAGGGAAAGAGAGATAGAAACATCAATAATGAGAGATAATTATTATCGGCTGCCTCCTGCATACCCCCCACTGGGGATTGAGCCTGCAACCTGGGCACATGCCCTGACCTGGAATTGAACCATGACCTCCTGGCTCATTGATAAATGCTCAACCACTGAACCACGCCAGGCAGGCATAACCCGTTTTTTTTTGTTGTTGTTTTGCATGTGTGTGTTTTTATAATTACTTTACTTTGTTTAGGTCTAACAGTTCTGGTCAAATTTTCAATTAAATGATTAATAATGATTTGAAGGAAGAAAGGAATGGGGCAAAGTAGGGAGGGAGGAGATATTTGGAAGGTGAAAGCACAGGAATGAGAGGGAAAAGCTGATGGATGTTCCTGGGTAAAGAGTTATAGGAAACAAAAGAAGGTGCTTGGAAATGGCTCAGAGTAAGCAAAGCAAGAACTGTCCTGGCCCTGAAAGACCTCCACCCCCAGGTAAATACTAAACCTTTCCCTGTAAGTCCTAGTAAAAGCACACAGGTCCAAGAGGATAGACAGCATAGCATGGGAATCTCCATCTAGAATGCAAATCACATGAAGATGCTTATGTTCAGAACAAGAGAAGGCCAAGCTCACTCTAAACATTCCATTACAACACCCTGGTTGGTAACACAAGGTGAGGGTAGTGCCCGATGGTAAAGCTTGACCTCTGCAGGTAGGCTCAACCTGTTGTATTTGATTTCGAACACATGCTGTCACACTCAGTTATGACAACTGGAGTAGAAGAGGCCCACAAAGTCACTTACTATAACTTCCCACCAAGAATTCTTCAAAGTGTTCTTCTGAAATGGGTGCCAGGGCTCTGCTTAGGAACTTCCAGTGGCAGGAGGCTCACCTGCTCAGGCAGATGCCAATGGATGGGAAGCTCTGGGTAGAAGTCACCTGCTCAGGCAGATAGATGTCTATGGATGGGAAGCTCTGAGTGGAAGTCACCTGCTCAAGGCAGATAGATGTCTATGGATGAGAAGCTCTGAGTGGGAGAGCCAAGCTGCTTCCCTGCGACTCCAGCATGCCGGGTCTCCAAGCTGGCCTCCCTCCAGCAGGCATTTCCTCTTGTGGTTTTCATAGTTAGCTTCCTCTTCCTCAGACTTATGCATTAGGCTGCGCAGATCATTCCTCTTCTGTAAACTGACCTTAAGTTCAACTATTATTTGAGGGTTCGGATCTTTCCTTTCAGCTGGCTTGGAAGTAAACTCTACGCTGTCGCTTTGGAACATGCTCCTGGTTAGGAGGCTAATCTGAACACACAGGGTGTGGAAGGAAGAACCTTGGCTTAGAACTTTGCAATCTTTGGTGATGCTACCTTCACAGCTGAAGATGGATATCAAAAACCCTGCTTCCCAGGGTCAGTCAAAGATACTAACCCTGTCACACAGGTCAAAGATACTAACCCTGTCACACAGGTCAAAGATCCTAACCCTGTCACACAGGTCAAAGATACTAACCCTGTCACACAGGTCAAAGATACTAACCCTGTCACACAGGTCAAAGATCCTAACCCTGTCACACAGGTCAAAGATACTAACCCTGTCACACAGGTCAAAGATACTAACCCTGTCACACAGGTCAAAGATACTAACCCTGTCACACAGGTCAAAGATACTAACCCTGTCACACAGGTCAAAGATACTAACCCTGTCACACAGGTCAAAGATACTAACCCTGTCACACAGGTCAAAGATACTAACCCTGTCACACAGGTCAAAGATCCTAACCCTGTCACACAGGTCAAAGATACTAACCCTGTCACACAGGTCAAAGATACTAACCCTGTCACACAGGTCAAAGATCCTAACAAATCACACCCTGCACTCCGGGCACCCTGCCTGGACACAGCAGGACATCACAGGGGCTGCTACAGGAATGGCCTTTCTCCTTAACAGCTCACCTTACTGTCACCTGTGTGTGACCTCAAATCAAAACCCCCACACACTTATCTGTCTCCAGTTAATCGACATTTCTCCCCAGGAGCACACCATCAAGGCAACCAGTGATACAGTCTCTATTTGTGTGATGACTTCACAGATAACCTAGTTGATTTTGCTGGAAAAGGTAGTTTAAATTAAGAGGAAATATTTCAGCAGACTTGCTCTTTGTTTACTCATTTTTATGTTTCTAAAAAAAAATATTCGTTTTGAGAAGGAGAAAATGCTCATTTAGGAATGTCTGCATGCTGCAATAGTTTATTTAACTCCAAATTGAGAATTAAAATATTGTAATGGATTTTTCCTTTGCAGAAACTGAGTCTGGAGTGCTGTTCGCATGGATTTCCTTTTACCTGTATTCCGAACAACGGTCAATTTATCCACATGGAAGAAATCAGAGAAACAAAGCCTCTGGATGGCGTTGTTATTGAGAACAGTCAGGGAAGAGATGAAGAGAAGATAACTGTGGCGTCATGACCAGGCAGATAAACATTATGGTAAAGTGAATTACTGCTTTTAAAAAACTTTTATTAAAGCTTTCATCAAACCCCAATTAGCTCTTGGGTTCATATATTGAAAAACCAAGTATCTGTTATTAAAAAGCAGAAAATTTACTTTGGAAAGATTTAGGAAGATTCCCATGTAGTGGTATAAAGTGCAAACAAAACAATATATTTGATAAAAATAAGAGGCTAAAACCTAAGAGCTATACAATAAATTGTTCAAGTACCAAGGATGATACTGAAACTGCTTTATTCATGTGGCATATGAGCAAATTAATTATTTTATCACCAGCATAAAAGGCTCCATATGGATAAGGCAGTAAATCACAATCTGGGTGCTGGGAGAAAGGCACCTTTCATAATCTCCTTCTAGAAACAGGAAACTTGGAAATCAGGGTCATAACATTGCCATGGCCTCTTTCAAATGGCAAATGAATGGAATTTTCCATAAGAGCTGAAAACGGAATTCTAGTCCCAAGTCTGCTCCGCAGGGCTGTACACATTTATCGTCCTCAATGGCATTGTATTCTCATACTTACTCATTCAACAGACATTTACTGGGTGACTACTGTATAGAACACTGGGGTAAACATGTACCACTCTTCCTTGAGGTACCAAACATTCCATACATGGCTGCCTGTCACTCAACTCATTTCTGCTACACACTGTCACCTACAGTTAAGGCTCCAATGATCCCCGCATGCTAATGACTTCCACAAACCTGTTCAGATCGTGATTTCTCCTCTGCGCTCTAGATCCACATCTACAATCGTTGGTTAGAAATACCTGACTGGATGCTAATTATTCAAGAATATTGACTTGAGAATGTCCAACCCGAGCCTATTCTTTTCCTGCCTCCCATTGATCCGCCCCTTCTCCCCCTACACTAAGCGTCACTAAGCGTACAACAGGCCGACCACCCCCTCCAGCCAGAAAATGTAGAAATCTCCTCTGCTTTAGTGTCCATGTCCACATCATCGAGTTAGGCTGAGATCATCATAAATCTCTCAGATCTGCTCCTGTCCTGTGGTTTAGGATTTTCATTTCTGGCCCAGAGCAGTGGAGGGGACTTGTCACTGGCCTCTGTCTCATCTCTTCTCTGCTTACTCTACTCAAAGCTACAGCGCTCTTTCTAAAATGCAAACCTGATCAACTGTGTCCCCAGCCACTAAAAATCGCCGGAAGGCTCCCAACTGCCTTCCAGATAAAACCCAAATTTCCTAGCAAGGCATTCACATTCCTTCATAATGTGGCCCCTCACTGTCTTTTCAACATTGGCCTTCAGAACCTGGCTGTTCCACGCTGTTCCACACTGTTCCACCTGCGGGTCCTCGCCTAGGCTGTGTTTTCTTAGCACCTCCCAGGCTCTGCCCACTTTCTTCCCTTTGCCTAGAGGAGCTTCTTTGGTCTTATTCTCACTTATAAAACTCCTAGTTATCTTTCAAGACTCACCACTCAATCGATCAGTTTTCTTGGCAAGGAAAGTATAATACATTGAGGCAACAGGCATTCACTGTGTCCCGCAAGCACCGTACTAAGTGCGGAATAAACAGTGCTGAGTGAGATGGCAGAGCTTCGAGGTCATGTGAATACAGCGGGCAGTGCTAAGTCAAAGTACTGATTCGGAGGAGCTCCGGGAAGGCTTGGGGAGGGACAGAGAAGACTTGCCAGAGAAAGAGAGAAAGAGCTGAGACATAGAGATGAGCAGCAACGAGCCAGCGGGATGGGGTGGAGAGAGCATCCCAAGGACAGAGTCAGGTGTGCAAAGCACCAGAAGAACACGGTGGGGGGATGTACACAGTTGGAAGCATTTAGTGTGGCTGAAGTGGGGACATGTTAAGGCAGAAAGTGGGAAACTGAAACTGGAGGAGAAAAGGTACAAACTGTAAAATGCCTTGCAAAACATGTTAAAGCGTACTTTTACCACCTAGAAGCTTTCGCTGACACCCTCCCTGGCTGTCAGGCAGCCTTCCGGGATGTTCCCTCCTCAGCATCTGGCATGCGCCTCTCACAGGGTTCCAGGTTTACATTCTACCTGCTGCTACTGCAGAGGCCACGCTCTGCTTTCTGAGGCTAATGCTGGGGACAGTCTGGTTCAGAGAAGGTGGCTTCATCAAGACACGGAATTGAGAAGATGACACCCTCCTCGCTCACTTATGAGAATGATGTCTTTCCCACACCCTCAGTTCAACTCTGGGTCAGAAAGAGGAGGGCAGACAACTGCCCAGGAGGCTGCCCTCTGATGGGAACAGCTTCTAGCGGCACCACCAGCCAATGCTCCATCTAAGAGGAAATCAATGTAGGAGGCACTGAAACGCGGACAGTCCACTCTCTGACAGGGGCTGGGACACGAGGGAACCACAGACAAGATTCCTGGGTTTACGGTGGGGCCTGTACTGCGATGGGCATCCAAATGACTAAAACCTATTTTTTTCTGAGCTTCCTAGAATAAAACCCAACAATTTGCACATGTGGTTTGGGAAAGCATAGAGGAAAGGTAGAAAGGATAGTCTTAACTTTGTATATATCATCCATCTTAGCAGTCCAAGCATAATGAGCAATAAAACTTTTCTTGGACTACATCACAGTCAAACTTACAAAGGGCAGCAGTTCAATTCTGTGTGCCTATGTTCATTTCCAGAGAGTTGCACATTAAGAATTCTACATTTTGAAACATTAACCTGATAAATTTCTCTATTTAGTCTACCCACGGGCTATACTATTAAACTAATCCTATAACTACCGATGTAAAACACTTTCAGAGCGTAACAAAAAAACTCTAAAAATGCTTATTTAAAAAAAGGTGGAGGCAGACATTAGAGCAGCGGTTCTCAACCTGTGGGTCGCAACCCCTTTGGGGATCGAACGACCCTTTCACAGGGGTCGCCTAAATACATCCTGCATATCAGATATTTACATTACGATTCATAACAGTAGCAACATTACAGTTATGAAGTAGCAACGAAAATAATTTTATGGTTGGGGGTCACCACAACATGAGGAACTGTATTAAAGGGTCGTGGCATTAGGAAGGTTGAGAACCACTGCATTAGAGGGAATAAAAGGCGAAAGGAAGGCATTTACCTTTTCAGTGATGATGCGGTTGACACACTGCTTTCCAGTTAATGGCAATGTACATTTCTCCATGATTTTATGTGTATTTCCCTGTTTTCAAAAAGAAACATCAAAGAGAGAAGTTACGGACTGATGTTTATCTAGAACTGACACAACTGCAGGACAAACAGGACTGTCCCCTAAGTGCAGGCTGATTCCACATCTCTGTACGCTCAAGCTTCCACTTTCTTTTCTGTCCCTAAAATAATTCAGGGACAACACCAAATGAATAGCCAAAGGCCTAGTCGTTTCCTTGGGAAACACCCTGCATGAACTTGACTTCTCACGCCCCACTCCTTGCATTGTGGAGCAAGAAATTTCACTTCTCCTATCCTGCTTCTTTTTCTCCTCTAGGGAATGGTCTTCTTTATTGACCAAGGACAGGCAGGAAGCATACACGGAATTGCAAATGCATACTATCCCCTCTAAACATTTTTTATTCATTAAAAAATTAATGTATCAGCAGAAAACAGCAGTCCTTATCTTGTTCAGTTCTCTTAGATTTGTTCTCAATAGGAATCAATTTCAATTATTTTTAGTATTGTCTTTTATACTTCTATACATTTTCTTCTTACCTCTGTATTTTACAATATAATGTTGGCCATGAAATTTTTATGGATTAATCAATATTAGTTATTATCTACTAACATCTTATTGGGGCATATGAAGACTTAACTCTCCTACAAACCCCAAACATCCATCATCTTCATTCAGTTCCTACATAGCTATCGCAACTCGTACGTAACTTTATAGTCAGAATTTACATCACACTGATAACGACCGTGTAAAACTGCCCATTTTATGTGTATTTCCCTGTTTTCAAAAAGAAAGGCCAGGCAATGTAGTAAACCATGATTAGATTCTCTTATACAACCATTTGCTTTTCCTGAGCCTCATTTTGTTTACTGGTAAAATGTGTGAACTGGCCAAATCCACATTTTCCCCCAAAATTTCCTTTAGCCAAAGTACACTTTCTTCAAACGTAAAATAAAAGAGGGATCCAGTGTGGAAAGCAGGTTTTTTCCCATTAGCCTCCCTGCCCCCAGTTTCTAGCCTCCCTTTCCCCCCTATAGCGCCCCCCCCCCGTGGCCCCTGAGGCACATCTGTGGGGCACAGTTGTAACAACAGCTTTGACAATGATCTGCTCTTCAGATCACTTCGTTCTGATTATATCAGTTTCCTTTCTAAGTAGCAAGCATCAGGAGCCCAGACTAATCTTTCCCTTGAGGCTGAAGGCTGACCTAGAACATCTATTAAAAATGGCTGTCAACTTCAGCGGGGAAGGGGGGGAGGGGTAAGAGATCAACCAAAGGACTTGTATGCATGCATATGAGCATAACCAATGGACACAGACACTAGGGGGGTGAGGGTATGTGCTGGTGGGTGGGGGAGGCTGGGGGAGGTCAATGGGGGAAACTCCTTTTTTGGGGGACCTAAAAGCACCACACATGATGTCATCAGCATCCTGAGCCATCTCAATGTTTACCTACTTCAACATGCACCTGCTACCTGGTTTACATCTCTCTGAACACTGCTCAGACCAAGGATGTGCTGTTCAGAGGCAAGGGCTTAATTAAGATTTGACTCCTTGTGATAACCTGCCAAGGCACCAACACACCAGTAATTAACAGGTTTTAGTGTACTAAATCCAATTTGTGGCACAAAAGGTATTCAATACTTTTGAATGAATGAAGGAGATAGAAAAGGGAAGTCTATTGGGAATCTTGGATGGATTTCAAAAAATAACAACAAGCTCTATTACTTTAATTTAGTCAAAACTAGAGCTGAATACATATACAGTGGTTAGACATTATACCTTTAATAACAAGTTACATGCTTGTGGATCTTACTGTATAAGAAAATTTATAGCTGTAGAAATAAAACCTCATTTTCACTTCATTCTTAATTATCTATTTTCCTTTCCCGATTTCAATGGAAGCATGTACATGTCATAGAAGCTTAGTTAAAGAGCTGAAGTTAATGATAAATGTGTGAACTTCTACAGTTATCAGGTCTCCTTACACTTTTTAAAAATATGTTTTTATTGATTTTAGAGAGAGGGGAAGGGAGAGGGATAGATAGAAACATTGATGAGAGAAACATCGACTGGCTGTCTCCCGCATGCCCCCTACTGGGGATCGAGCCCGCAACCGGGGCATATGCTCTGTCTGGGAATCGAACCAGTGACCTCTTGGTTTATGGGTCAATGCTCAACCACTGAGCCACCCCGGCCGGGCAGGTCTCCTTACATTTAATGTAGCTGAATAAGGCCTGCCACAACGAATCCATGTCAATCTGCAAGCCTCTGAAGAATGTTCTCTGCAGGGAACTCTTAATCTATTCTCATTTTTGAGCAAAATCTACATCTAGTGTGACGAGATAGATGCAAGTGTCCAGCACTTAGCAAGTGCTCAAAGTGCAGGAAGCAGGATGGGTTGAGCTACATGCAAAATCCTAAGGTTAGTGGGGTCTTGTTCATCCTAATCATTCTGCTTCTTTCCCCACAAAGAGATGCCAGATGAGGCAGAGGAACGCATGTGAAGTGTAGCATTAAGAATGCTGAGGGCTCCTGACCTCAATGTGCCCCTATGTGCCAGCTCCCTCATAATCTCGGTGAGCGGAGTCTCCTTCCTCCACCTGCTTCTCCAGCTTTTCTCTTTCTCCCCCTTCGTCACTGACAGGCCTCATGCAAGACCCAGGAGTTCACCCTCTTGACTTTAAATAACTTGGGGCCTCAGTACCTTCTATTACTTGCTTCATGGTGATCTCAGTTTAACACTTTAGTAGAAGACAATTCTGGTTAAATGATAATAGATCCCCTTGTTATCATTGCAATAAGCTCCATGCTATCCCGATAAACTTAGTCCCGAATAACAAGCTCTTTTCACATGATGTTTGCACTTGATGACAACATTTCAATCCCCTGAGGCAGCAGAGCATTCCCAATCCGTAAGAGTCTGCTTTACATCAAACCCCATTTTATGCCCACATTTTCTGTTCGGTGCTTCCTAAATGTGGCTGCAGCATATGTCCCCTTGGAGGCACCTTCTTTGGGAATGCCCTCGTGACAAGCTGAAGGTAAATTCTGGAAGCTGGTTGTTCCTTAAGAGACCAGGTCTTGAAGCCTCTGTGCATGCTACCTGGAACACACATCATCGTGGCCCCATCACCCCACATTCAAGTGACCACACCTGCCTACCCTCAGGACTTGGCTCAGGTGTCATCTCCCTCTCCAATGCCCCTGCTCCGGTGTCCACAGACACCCCAGTGCTTCCTTCCCTCACCACACATGCTGTCACCATCAATCTCCCTTCACACCCCGACCCCCCACCCCCACCCCAACACTAGACTCCAGCTCAATGAATGCTGAGATGATTTATATCCACATCTATGCAATGAGTGGAGTGCCAGCAAGCCACAGTGATCAAAACTACTGTCTGAATATTGTCATTTTGATTTGAGGAACTCTGAGTCTGAGATGTAAACCACCATGTGACTGAGGTTTAGAGACCATTCGAGGCTACTTTCTGGTCCTGAAACACATGTCTGTACCATCCCAGCACCTCTGAGCTCACTAGGAAAAGCACAGCTAGAAGGAGTGTGTGTGTGTGTGTGTGTGTGTGTGTGTGTGTGTGTGAAGAGGGGGGGCTTATAAGACTGAGAGACAGACAAAGGCATGATCAAGGGAAGAAGCACAGACATCTCATGACTGCAAAATGACACATGCAGCTTTACACGCAAAGAAACAGTGAATGACAGTCCCTCCACCGCCTCTGCTGCTCCTCCTAAGCGTCAAGGCTGCATCCATCCCCTAAAAGTAGGGGCTACAAAGGCGGGACTTGGCAAGAGAAGACTCAGTACCCTGTCTGGTGGCACACCAAAACCTACCACAGCCTCTCTCTGGGCTGGCCAACATCCGCTGACAGCAGCCTGGATGTCACCGCCCTGGAGTCTTCCTTCTTCCTACTGGTCTCAAAGCCTAAACCAAGTGAAACAGCTCCCATACATATACAACAGATAGCAAAGATTGGGGCTGCCGTATTACCAAACACGTGACTGTCAAATCGCCGTGGTGACTGATGTGCTACATAGAGAAGTGGGATTTGCCAAATAAAGGAAATCAAGGTACACAGAACAAAAGGACAAGAGGGTGCTGTTACTCACACTGAGTTTACTCTCAGGGGGTATCTGTGGCATTTCCCCCTATTTCGTAGGGTTTCCAGCAATCCACGTGGGACTTTGCTAGAGAGACTTGGCGGGCGCTAACGTGGAGGGCGGTTGCTCTGACAAATGGTTTCTATAAGGCAGATGTAATAACCGTTTGTGGTTACAGGCACGTTCTCAAGGAGAGGACTCACCAAGTGAGACAACACACACAGCGAGCCATTTCCCTGAAAACACTCTTTAGGGCTATGAGACTTAGAATAGAAGGCCATTGTTCTTCCATATAATACAGAAACTTTTATCACGGCCTTTTGTTCTCTCTACTACTGCAGGGTACAATCTCTGGCCTAACAATGCAGAGCCCAGGGATGAACAGGAATCATTTTCTCTTTCCACTCATGAACTGTCCTGGTAACTGAGAAAGCTTTTCTTAGCATCACCTTTCCATTTAAGAACTGTGCACACGCAGTCATAGAATTTAAAGTATTAGTTTAATTAAATTCTAGAAGGCATTTTAAAGGGGCTTGTTGGTTGCTGGACTGAGTTCTGCTATTTTTCCACATTTTAACATGTTTTGCAGGCATTTCCATCATTCCGGGAGAAATAAAAAGGCGTTTGCATTTTTTAAAGGTGAATATTCTTTTCCAAACAGATCCAGCCATGAATTATTAACAAATTATAAAATATTGACAAGCTTTTATGAATGAAAAATAATTAAACCAGCGGGAACTATGTTAAGTATCATTTATCCTAACAAAGGAAGGTTTATCTGGGGATTCTTTTCAATGTTGCTGAAAATTATCCCAAAAATGTTTTCCAGTAAAGCGTTCTTAAAAATATCCTTCATATAAGTTGGCTTTTCGTAACGCATTTGGTCCAAAATTAAT